TCTCCGTGGGCATTGCCTTGAAGGCCATGAAAGTGCTTTGGGGTCTCTCCCCTCCCCTGCCTAACTCTCTGAGATCCCAGAGTCAGTTTTCTGAACTTCTCCTTGGCTCACTGGTTCATTCCAGCTGCTTCCTTCCACCATGAGATTTTTCTAGTTGGGGTCTGTGCAGAGCTGTTCAGGGAGTACATGCAGAGACAGGGTAAAGCAGAGCCTCCTGCTTCCTTGGGAGAGCAGGCCTGGGGTGCGCACCTGTAATCCAGGCTCCTTCCTAGTCTCCATGTACTTAAGGGCAGCGGCATCTCTCCAAAAGGAGATTCCCCATAGGAGGCAGGCACAGCCTCAGAGGGACACGTCCACTGGCAAAAAAGGGAGCACAGTCTTCCAATCCATGTGGGCTCCAAAGAGCTGAGAAGCCCCGTGTTCTGCTAGCTCTGGCTCCTGGGGGTGCTTCCCGTCCTGGGATGCTGGGGTTTGGCACATCCACTGTTGCAGGGCCAAGCCAGCCCCGCTTTTACCCCCTCTCCTGGTACATCCCATGGAGTCTGGACCCTTCCTCTCCCTCCCAGCGTATCCCCACGCTCAGCCTTTTGCAAGGCGCTTTGCGTGTTGTGCTCTGCTTCCACAAGAAGCCCCCCAGGCTCACGTGTGTTTCTGCTCTCCCCCCACCCCTCGCCCACCCGGTGTGTGGCCCGGCAGAAGTACATTGCCCAAGTGCTGCAGGACTCCTCGCCGGAGGGCGAAGCGACGGAATCAGAGGAGCAGGGGTCGCAGGATGAGGAGCTCATCAACGCGGATGGCATGAATGACACGGATTTCCAGTCGTGTGAGGACAGCCTGATAGAGAACGAGATCCACCAGTAGGGACCTCGGAGGGAGGGAGGGGAAGGAGGCCCCGGAGCGGGGCAGGCACTGCGCACGGAGACCTAGGGAGAGGCACTGAGGGTGCTGGCCACTGCCCTCGCCCACCCACCCCCAGAGGGCAGGGGCCCTGCCACAAGCTCTCCATTTCCCTGCCCCTCCACCCCTGCGCCAGCCTGGCAGCTCGGCGGGCATGCTCTTTACTAGCTACCTTCTTTGAGGCATCCCTGGACCCCAAAAGCCCAGGGGCTAGGGAGGAGGGACACTGTGACCCCTGCGGTGCTGCTCTGGACCCGCAGGGAGGAGGAAGACTGGGTGCTTTGTGGGGAGGGACACAAGGGCAACCTTTGGGGGCTCCTCAGCAGGCCCCTCTGTCCCCCATCCTCCTGGCGAGAAACACTAATAATTTATTGGATTTACAGGAAGGTGACAAACAAAAAGCTTTAGTTAGTGTATTGGAAGTCCCCCCCTAGGGAGGGGGGTGGCTTTTGTTGCACCTCCCCATGCCCACCCGTGCCCTTTCTCAACCCCTTGCAGCATCCCCTTGGTGTGACATGCCAGGAGCTGGGCCAGGCATGGGGGGTAGTGACAGAGACCTCCTCCCCCACGGGGAAGGTGACAGCCTGGCCTTGTGGTCAGGGGTGGCATTACCCCGGGGAAGAGGCACAGGGTTGGCATGAGCTGGGCAGCCCCTTGCAGGGTGAGGGGTGCTGAGGGCATTTCTCGCGGGCAGGAGGAGGCGCAGGCAGCCTCTCCCCCAGGTCCTGTCCTCTCCTCCCCCAGGGGCACAAGTAGGGGATTGCAGCATCATTTTAAGTGGCTTTTTATTTTTGCACATTTTACTCCCCTTTCGAACAAATCAATCTGACTCCCTCGTGGTACCACAGCCCCCTTTGCTGCCCTATGACTGCACAGCAGGGTTAGGCCCAGGGGCGACGGGGGCTGTGCTGGGGGTCTCCTGGGTGCTAGGGAGAGGGGAGAAAGGGTCCTGGGCTGCAGGCCCTTGGCACCCTGCGGGGTCAGCGCTGCCTGGTTGTGACGGGGCCCCATGGGCTGCCTTCCCTGAGCTGCTGCAGGGTCTTCCCCAGCTGAGGTGGTCGGAGAGGAAGGAAGCCCTGGGAGAGCAGCCCCTGGGAGCCCTCTCCAAGCAAAACCACCATCTTCAGGAGCACAAAAGCCTTGTGGGGCTGTGTTGGCTTTCTTCACCTGCCCTGACTGGGTATAGGCTCCCCTGGCATCACCCAGCCTGAAAGAGAGGGGCTGTTCCTCCCCTACCTCTGCCCTTGCCCCCTCCCTGGTGATAGCTGTGTCCCAGAGGCAGGCAGGGGACAGGATGGATGGGAGAGGTGGACTGGAGCCCCTGGCACCTGCAGGAAGGTTTGACCCTGTTTAATGGCTCCTTGGGAGGAGGTTTCTGGTCAGGATCAGCTGCCCTCAATTGCTTCCCCCCTCCCCTTGTGTAAAATGTAAAGGAAAATAATAAATCTCCCTGCTATTGAGCTATATTTATTTCCCCCAACCCCCTGCCACCATCCTGTTTGGTGCTTATTGCGGACATTACCACCCTCTCTTTGCCTGTTATCTGTGGGTGCTGCACTGGCTCGCTGGGGCCGTGCCCTCCAGGGTCTGACGGGGCCGGGTGGAAGGGGACCGTCATTTACCTTTTCAATTACCCGTGCTGGCCCTGGAGTTCCAAGCACTTTAATAGACCTGACCAGGTGAAGCGTCAGCCCTGCCCAGCTCCTCGCTGGGAGAAGGGTGGTCACATCCCATGGCTTTTCTCCCCCTCACCCCCATTAGAGGAGGGGAGCCGGACATACAGAGCAGGCAGGGGGCTGCTCTGGGGAGGACATAGCTGACTTTCCTGTACACCTCTCTATAGGAATCCCAGGCCCGGAGGAAAGGGGGGATGGAGGGGAAGAGATGTGGGTCTTTGATGCATGGGGAGGGCGGGCCACCACGGCTCCCAGGGCTCTGCTGGGGCTGGAGCACATGCGGGTGGGGAGGGGCATGGTGAGTGTCACCCATCCCCTCCAGAAATGAAATGAGCATGTGAGCTGAGAGCTCCCCGTCTGCTCCCAGGCTGGGGCAGGGAGGATGTTGATCCTGCTTTCCTATTCTTGCACCTACCTACCACCCTTGCCCCTGGTCCAGCAGGCGGGCTGGGATGCTCCAGTCTCTGTAGGTACGGCCGTGGCCCGGGGCTGCTTCTGCGGCTGTCAGGGCTCTGCCCACGGAGAGCTGTGTGTTCTGAGTGGCACTGTCTGTGTAGAGATGTGTATAATACCCTGTATATATTTGTGTACAAAAGAAAAAAGGAAAAAAAGGAGCTATTGTTCTTGCGATCTTTTCTTTGTGGAGCGGGTTGGGGGCTGGGACCTGGGAGGAGAGGACCCCAGCTGCAGCAGGGATGCAGGAGCATGCGCAGTGCCAAAGGAGGAGTTGGGGGTTGTGTGCTCCCCCTGTGCGAGCACAAGCCCTGCCCTGCCACCAGGAACCCAGCTGTGGCTCACGGGCTCTCCCAGCCCGAGTGGGCTCTCCTTCCAGCTTGCAGAGGCATCGAAGGGTTTGCTGCTAAAAGCAGGTGGATGGGGGAGCTGTGTGCACTGAGGCTGGGATAGGGGAAGATGCTCTGGGAATGGTGTGGGAGGGGAGGTTTGCTGGTAGCCTCGGTGGCAGATGTCAGCCCAACCCTACGGTCCTAATAGCAATTTATGTGGCCACTCCTGCTGTCTCCATCCAGGAACCTCTCTCCTAGCCTAGTGTGGGTGGACAGCTAAAGCCTTTGGGAAAGGGTGAGGGGTGCTAGACCCCTGGAGCACAGCTTGGCTGCTGTGTGATGCTGCTTGTAGCTGAGCCTTCCCCTAAGCACAGGGAGAGGCAGCAAGCAGCCAGCCCCCAGGACTGCTCCCTGCTGCGGGCTGGAGCTGGGGTAGTTCCCAGGCAGCTGCTGCATACTCATTAATTTGTGTACAGTGGCCATTGCTCAGAGGATGGCACAAAGGAGAGGCGAGGTGTGGGGCAGGCCTCTGAGAGCCGGACGAGTGACCCCAGGCTCCCAGCTCCGTTCCCATCTCTCTGCGTTCAGGCTCTGTGGTTTCATGTGCCAGCGGCGCAGCGTCAGCAGGGGACAAAAAGCTCTCCTTCCCCCAGCAGCCTGCAGCCAAAGGACCAGGAAGAGGCAACGCCTGGGCACAGACAAAGAGAACCAAAGACCGAAAGAAGAATGGTGCCCGCTGCCAAGTCCCTGCAGGCATTGCTGCAAAGGGAAGCTTGAGGGAAGGGAACAAGGAAATTGCGCAGGTATTTGTGCAGGTGTTTGATGGAAACTGCTCCCAAGCACAAGGGGCAGGACACGGGACAGCCTGCGTGACAGGATTACACAGGAGCCATCTCCTACCCCAGGAGAGTCAGCTGTGAAAGCAGCTTTAAAGGCCACCAAGGGGTAATGAGGAAAGAGATGAACAGAACGGTGTCATAACAAGGACGGGCACTGTCCTGGGTGGATCTGAGTGGGCAGGGTGGTCAGTGGTGGTCAAGACCAGAGACAAAGCTAGCAGAGCCGTTCAGGCACAAGCCCTGGCATTGAAGGTCTGCTTGCTCCTTGTCTGAAAGAACACTGCTGCCTGCAGCATGCTTCCAGGCTGCGGGCAGTGACGCAGCCGCCTTCTGGCTGAGCGTAAGATGGAGCGGCCGCTGCGGCAACCCAGAGCAGGGCACCCCAAAGCCTTCTCCCATGCCAAGGTGGGCAGAACAAGATGCCTGTGGCAGGCTCTCCCAGGTGGGGATGAGGTCAGGGCAGCCCTGGTGGGTCCTGGCCAGGGCCGGAGCGTTCCCTTGTGGATGCGGCAGTAGGACCATGCTACAGCTGGTTTTGAAAGTCCTGGTTGCCCTTCCCTTAGGCAAGGGACACAGCTCTTGACACCAGGTGCAACCTGCTCCCTGCTTAGCAAGGATTTGCCCCCCCTGGGGTGAGGCGGGGTGCGTTGGAAAGCAGGTGCTCTGTGAAGCCTGGGGGAGCAGCTGGATGCCAGCTCCTGCAGTGAGGCAGTATGGGCACAGCCTCTCCAGCCGCGACCAGGCACGAGGGGAGGAGAAGGAGCCCCACGGTTGGTGATGCCTGTTGGGATCACCATGTTCAGCCCTGGCACCAGAAGGATGGCAGGGCAGAGTTTCTTCCCAGTGGTGGGGCTGAGGCTTCCCCTACGTGGGGCTGGGCCAGGCCATGCCGAACTGGGCTGAGCTGAGCTGGTCATACCAGGCCAAGCCATGCTGTGCTGAGCCATGTTGACCACGCTGGGCTAAGCCACACCAGGCCAAGCTGTGCCAGTCCATGCTGGGCTATGCCATGCCA